CGACGGCGACTTCACGACTTCATGGCCATAGATGAAAACAGACATAGAGAAGAAGACGGAGACAGAGGGAAGAGAAAAGAATAAGAAGAAGAGAGAGAGAGAGAGAGAGAGAGAGAGAGAGAGTTTTAAGTTTTTATTTTATGACTATTATTTATTTTTAACATACAAAATAACTATTTTACCCTCATATTTAACGGCAAATTGGATGAAATGTTGCAGATTTAGACGGCAAGGGGGAAATTTGCAAAAAAAAAAAGTTCATATCCTTAATTTTCTAAAAAAAAAGGATAGGGGATCAATTGAAAGTAAGGTACAAGTTCAAGGGACAAATCAATAGTATACCCAAATTTTTAAGAGATATTTAGTCAAATACCCATTCTTAGCACTAAAACTATAAATAAACCCTACACCATTTAATTTCTATAAACAAACCCAAATAAAACCCAAAAAATGACAATTGGCCATATTGAATTTAATTTTGATTATTAAATTACTTCGATGTCCTATTGAGTATTTTGGGCTTGTTTATATGTTTTGGGGTTGGGTTTGTTTTGAGAAATTAATGGCAGTTTTGTAATTTAAAAGAAGTTAAAAGCCTTTTTGTTATGTTATAAATGGGCTTTGGGTGTATTTCTAAAGTCCATTTCATATAGGGTATTTTTATAATTTGGGCTCCTATATTGGGTATATTAGTGAATCTCCCAATTTTTAATTAGGATGTGGACCAAAAATTATTTATGATATACACAAATATGCAATGGATTGATTCAATATTTAAGGATAACATAATCGCTGTCTCGTGGTTTTGCAAAGGCAGAACAAATGAGTAGTAGTAGAGGCAAGTCCTGGACTCCGGGAACTGTGGAGCTTAAATTGGGATTTAAGAAACGTCGACTAAGGAAGGACAGGATTAATGATGCTGCTTTTCTTCACATGCCGCTGTAAAGAATGATGTTTATTATCCTAGTCCACCACAAAGGCTTTGGGTGTATTTCTAAAGTCCATTTCATATAGGGTATTTTTATAATTTGGGCTCCTATATTGGGTATATTAGTGAATCTCCCAATTTTTAATTAGGATGTGGACCAAAAATTATTTATGATATACACAAATATGCAATGGATTGATTCAATATTTAAGGATATAACATAATTGCTGTCTCGTGGTTTTGCAAAGGCAGAACAAATGAGTAGTAGTAGAGGCAAGTCCTGGACTCCGGGAACTGTGGAGCTTAAATTGGGATTTAAGAAACGTCGACTAAGGAAGGACAGGATTAATGATGCTGCTTTTCTTCACATGCCGCTGTAAAGAATGATGTTTATTATCCTAGTCCACCACAAAACACATGTAATGTTGTTATGTGAACAAGAACAAACCCTAATTACTCAATCAGTTTCACACTTGTCTGCTTATTGTTCTGGATTTTGCTGGCCAGGTGAAGCAAACTCTCTCTCTCTCTCATGTGCAGGCCAGCTGACAGAAAATGAATAATGTCAGTCTTTAGTTTGGTCCTTTCTTTTATGTTAAGTGACGCAAGAAAAAGTTAAGAAAACAAATAAAACCCAGCACGTCAAACTCTCTTTGGTCAGAAAGAAAGCACCCACTTCGTTTTTATCTTTTTCTTCTCTGAGGAGTCCATTTCCCAAGCATTCTCTCTCTCTCTCTCTCTCTCTCTCTCTCTCTCTCTCTCTCTCTCTCTCTCTCTCTCTCTCTCTCTCTCTCTCTCTCTCTCTCTCTCTCTCTCTCTCTGTGAGATAGAGATAGTTTTGATGAATTATGAGTCCATGACAGCACGCCCAATGATGTTGTCCCTTCAGAATTTGCCATTGCTTAAAAGGGATTTTCATGCTTGACTTCAACTCAAGTAAGAGAAGAGAAGATGCTCTCAGGTCAATATTCCATAGCAACCACACTCATTATTTTAACAATCTCAGACTTTGTCCTCCTCATATTTAAACCCCCCCTATCCTGTACCCCTTGGTATAATTTTAAATGAACTTCACGCGGGCCAACAAATCTATATCTGCAAAACTTGTTGCTGGGAAGCTAGCTGAGGTGGGTGACTGATATCTAAATTAATTTAAGCATGGATGTGCTGCATGCATGTTTCAACGCATTCACCTCTTCTATTGTATTGTGTTCTATGGTGCTTCCCAGTTCTATCTGATTTTTATGTTCTAGTTTCATCAACAAACTGAGGGAACTGCGAATATCTTGTCGAAGAAAAGCGATTCTAGCTGTTTTCGAGTAAGTCATCTTCTTTCAAGGTATGCCAAATAGTCTCTTTGGTATCACATTCAAATTCTAAAACCGAAGTAAGTTAATAATTAAATGTTGCAACACATCGTCATACTAGTTTGATTTCTGCACAATAATAAGTACAACTCTTTCAAGTTATGCTATTGTTATCTATTCCAGAAACTAAACCATAGGGAGCCGGGAAAACTTAGTTGTTAATTGTGCCAATTCCTTTCTTATTTCTCAGTTGAAGATTGGAAAATATTTCTCTCAAACAGCTCGCCATTGCCTTCGATACAAAGCCTCCTTTGAATTTATTTTTTTGTTGACAGAATTCTTTTTTTTTTTCAGTTAGAATTGTTGCAACAGATCGACTAAATATATATTGAACAAAGTCTATAACTGACTGTATTAACTACCATTAATTCCAGATCAGCTTGCATATATACTGGACAGCAGCTGCTGAGGCTCTTGTGATATTTATGGTGATGTATGATGTCCCAAATCACTTTGTGTTTTTTTCTCATCGATCGCCACCTTATATACGTGGAGTGCATGCATCACAATTGTAGGACTAAATCAAGAATAGATCTTGCTGATAGTATATCGTCGGTAAATTAAACCCTATTTGCCCGTAGGCGATTAGTTTTGAGTTCGATACTCTAATTCTATTATCAAAAGTTGGATACTTAGGCCAACATATGCTAACAGTCTGCAAAGACGCGATTAGTTTTGAATTCGATACTCTAATTCTATTATCAAAAGTTGGATACTTAGGCCAACATATGCTAACATTCTGCAAAGACAGAACCTTTCCTCAGCATATACGAATTTCCAGGAAGACAAAACCTTTCTTCGCCAGCTTACTCTCTTATGATCCTTACTTTGATTTCTCTTTCAATTTCGCAAACTACAAGTGGCAGTTCCCAAGTCTTGCTCAAATATTAATTATACGAATTAAGAGCATTTTCGAAACAATGTGCCACAATCAATTAAGCCACTCAGTCTTCTACCTTTCATTTATGCCCACCGTATGATCATCATGTTCTTTCAAAGTACTTAACAAAATTGTATGTTCCAAAAATATCTCAGGACAATCACATACCAAGAATGCTACCAAGTCATTTAGTCTGGAAACAATTGATTTTATGATAAAAAAAATACACACACACACAATTGATTACATTATTTCTCATAAAGTAAAGAGGAATCGTTGTGTCACTGCTGCTGCGTGCTTCATGTAGACAGAGAGTTTTACTCAGTAAATCATAATAATCAAACAGAATACTGGGCCATGCGAAATAACGAAAATACATTCAACAAATATATTGGCCAGATAGTTCAACAAGTACTGCTACGCCATACAATCCACGTAGTCTTGACTAAGTTATTTTGTAATTAAACATATACGTTCTACCTAGCTAGCTGCCTAGTATTTCATTAAAACATCAAAGGGCACAAAAGTCGAATAGGGTAGAGAAATAGCATTGTGTTTTCTTATGTACAGCAGCTGGATTATAATAATATTGTGTTTTCTTGATCCCTTTGAAGTACTGTACCTCCTAAGATTAATTAGTATCATGTATTGGCTAATTATATGTAATATTCATGTTCTGATCATTTCCACAGATCAATTTGGCAACTAGAGGTGGATGTTGAGGCATAGTCCTGCCCCAAATTTTCATTGTCTGGCCTTCTGGAAGACTCATTGGCCAGCATGTTGGCCACATGAAACATTGATGCTGCATTGGAGTAATTTGTAACTTCCTTGGAAGCATCTTGCTGGTCCTGGCTCAGCTGCGACGCAACAAACTTGTCGAGCACACGCCAATCGGTCACCTGATCAACAGATTGCTGATCATTATTGTTGTAAAGCACCAATGACGACGACGATGAGTTGAACATGTTTTGCTGCTGATTGATGTGCTGCTGCAATTGCTCTTCTTGTGTGAGTGTGGAAGACTGCAACATTGAACCATATGGGGCTGACTGAGGAACCTTGGGGCTTTCTAATTGAGGGAGCTGGAGGAAAGAATCATGGTGGTGAAGATGTGGCATGTTGTACTGCAAATCAAGCTCTTGTTTGCACTGGGAATAGTGCTGCTGCTGCTGGTGATATGGTGAGGCATAAGGGTGGGAAATTGATCTCCTTGGAGACTCAAGTTCTGGCATGAATGAGACTTGGTCATACCAACATGGTGACTCATAATCACCTATTTTCCTCACTGTTGCCAATCTCTTCTTGAACACCCTACACACAACCCATCCTTCTTCCTGTGTCCAATTATAACAATCTTTGGTGTTAGAAATAATAACTTCACTTACAGACAAAGAAACATATACAACTGTGGGGGGTACAATTTCGTCAATCCTTGCTTCGATTCTCCTTCTAAGAAACATATAAAACATATACATTATTGATATATAGGCTCGTAGAAAGCATAAGAAGAATTAATACTTGCCTGAGGAGTTCCATTCTCACTAGTTTCTAGTCGATACTCGTGCATTATCCAATCTGACTTTTGTCCATTTGGAGCACGGCCTTTGTAAAAGACTAAGGTCTTTCTCATGCCAATGAGGATGTTCCTTGAGTAAATAGCCTTATCTCTTCCTGTAGCTTTCCAGAATCCGGCTTTTGTCGCCCTATTGGTTCGAGTTCCAGTAGGGTACTTCTTGTCTTTGTGGCTAAAAAAGTACCATTCATTCTGATCATCAGCTCCTATTTTGCACAATTCTGTCCAATTCAACAACAATAATGGTGAAGAGGATCAGCAGATTATTAAGTAAGTTCTCTCGGTTTAACTAAAGCATGAATGAATTACCAAGTACCTTGAAGATCCCACGGCTCAATCTTATAAAGATCAACATCTTTGATGACATCAAGGTCAATCCTTTTCGAAGCAATCTTCTTTCTAAGATAATAATCGACAAGTTCTTCATCCGTGGGGTGGAATCTAAAGCCCGGGGGTACATGTGAAAAAGTATTCATCTTCTCCGTATAGTTATCCAAAACCTGCATTTCAAACATGAACACAATCAAAGCCCCAAAAGAAAAACATGAATAATAAGCAAATATGAACTCAAATATACTTATGACAAATGCTTCCTCCCGGTCATGAGAGAAAACGAACACATATCAAACGTGAAGTCCTTCTATATAACATCAATGTGTACATACCTTAACTTCTAAGTAATACACAAACATACGTATATATGATTAGTTTTTTCTTGCAGTAAAATAAAATATCAAACTGTAGCAACAAAACAATATTGCAAAGTTTTTAATGCTAAGTTGAATTCCGATCTTTGGAATATATAATATGCACCACGCCAATCTAGCTAGTAAACGCAACACGTAGCGGTATGGAGGGAAAGAAATTACACGAGATCCACAACTACTACTGAGCTTCTTTTTGATTCTTAGAGTACACAATGCCATGAAAGAAGCCCTCTATTAACTTGTTGATTCCACCGCGAAAAGAATAAAACACAGAAAACTCTTATGTTTTAGTGAATATTGATACTGAAATCTTACGTCCAAAGGCAAAAAGTGTTTGTACTTATTTATACCTATAGAGAACCCTAGGCGCTAATAAGCATCCTAATAAAATGGGAAAATAGAAGAAAAAAAAAATCTAAAACTTGCCAAAATAAAGAAGATCCTATAAAATAGAATTTATTAAAAAGACAATACTTGCCTAAAACGAACCTATATATATACGAGACAAGAGATTTTGGGAAACCAGTTGGCGGATTAATTATAGAGGAGATCATATAGAGATAAGATTTCCATAATGGTAAATAAGTAATTCGTCTTCTTTCTGTCTTTTATTTTGCCTATTTTGAAATCTGGAAGTAGATTCTATACAAAACAAGAAGATGGATCTTTATTTATATCATGCATATCTATATATGTTCATCCAACTAAATTCGACAGCTTAACAACAAAACATGAGTTTAAGAGTTTAACAATGGTTTGATGATGAAGATGAATGAAAGTTGATGAAGCTACTTGAATTAGAAACATTAATCAAAGCGAATCTACGTGTAATCTTCGCTCAAACTGATTCACTTTTCTTTTTCTTTTTCCATAAGAAGTTTAGAAATCAGATTGCAGATTTATACACATTGAAGAAACATAAAAAGAAAAAGGGGTCTCATATAACAATGGTGAAAACTGAGGGGGCAATGACAAAAAGTTGACTTTGGATGATCAATAGCATAAATTATGAACAAGAACAAAAAAGTATAATCATACTTAAATTTAATTTAAACGACTACGAAAATAATTTTGTCTATACCATAAGAAACTAGGAAATGGATCAATCATTAATATAGCTGTAGTAATATTAATTACATGGTAACTTAAACAATACACTAATTTATTTTCATAGCTGTAGGACTCATCTAACCAAAAACAAAATGTGATAATGCATGTAGGACTCATCTTAATGATTTTTCTTTTCATGTAAACCAGATGGTATGACATCTTCGAGAGAATAGATCCATGCATGTCGTAAAAGGAGGTGGTACGGAAAGTATATTGGTAATTTTGATTTCCATCAAAACTCCATCAAAGGGGTTTTTTAAAAAATGGATGGAAGATAAGCTAATCAAAGAAAAGTATGAGTGTTCTTGCTCATGCGGGTTGGATGAGCACACAACATGAAAGCTGAAAACAGCCAGATGATCGATCCATGTTGTTCCATATTAAGAAAACAAAGATCATCCTACAAAGCATGAACAGTGGAAGATACCATCTTTAAAATTAAAGCAAATATATTTGATCTTAAGCGAGCCTAATATTCGACGAAGCTTCGAGCTAATATTTCATGTGCTTTGCTTCCAAAGATTAATGGTATGTACCATTTTCATCTCTGATCATTTTAATACACTCATGCAGCTGGCCACATGGATCAAAATATTATCACCAAGAAAATTAAAAACCAATAAAAAGAGAAAAAAGAAGAAGAAGAAGAAGAAGAAGAAGAAGACGATGATATCAAGAAGAAGAAGGGAGGAAGAGGAAGAGAGGAGGAGATGACAACCTTGGTAATCTTGTACGGTGACAACACCCTATGGAAGCTAAAACTGCTGCACACAGATCTGGTTGATCAAGTAAACCTCGTATATCCACCAATCAGCCAGATGGTAGCTTAGAGATATATATGTAGGAGACAATATAGGAAGCTTGGCTTTCGTCACTCTTTTTAACTTTTTGGTTGTGAAATCCCACTGAAGCAGACAAAAAAGAAGCACAGAAAAGAAAGGACCAGACACAAAAACAAAACATACAAACAAATAAACAAACAAACAAGAAGAGCAAAGCAAATCCTCGGGAATTGAACTGATCCTCTCCAAGACAGAGAGAGAGAGAGATCAGATCCCGAGAAATGGAAAAGGAGGAAAGGAAAGTGAAGGAAAAAGGAAAGGGAAAGTTAGAGGCTAGCTAGGAATGGAAAAACAGGGAAGAGACGGAGTTAAATAAGAAGAAGCAAACAAAGAAACAAACAAAAACAAAATATATAAACACATGCCCTAATAATCCATCCCTCTCACTCATATGCACATTTTCTCTCTCCTTATCTTTTCAGTGTGTCTGTGGATGGCTTGATTGCTGCAAAAGCTTTGCCCGAAATAAAAGGGAGGCGCTCAAATGGCTCAAGAAAGTGAAAAAATGAATCAATGAGAGAGAGAGAGAGAGAGAGAGAGAGAGAGAGAAGGTAACCTCCAGAGCCACCCACCAGTGATGGAGACCAGAAGAGAAAAGCTGAGCTTCTTTGAGGTTGTCTCTCTTCTGTGAGAGTGAAGGAAGGAGATTGGACGGTGAGGATTGGATGGATGACGAGATCATATGGGGATTGGCTTAAATCTTCAAGGACAATGAAGGACAAAAAACAAAGGGATTAATTAGTAGTGTGTTAAACAAATTAATTGACTATTAATATTTGTTTGATGATGATGATTGATGATAAAAATATATGTGTGCAGATATTTGTAATCAATGGAGGATATTTTTTTGGTGGTGACCCCTCTCTGCCTGAGGCTGTGGTGAACATTCTCCCGCCAAAAAGTAACCTAAGCTTAGCTAGCCATCTCTCTCTCTCTCTCTCTTGATCCATTGCAGTTGAGTCTACACCGCGTGCTGTGCACGTCCAGATTAATTATGATACTGCAATTTATAGCCCTTCTAGATGATTACTATTTGTTTATAAAAATTATAAGATCAATAAACTTTTCCTAATTTCTAAGTGATTAAAAAAAATTACCCATACACCCGAAATTATGTGTTTCGAATCCTCCCTCTTTCAATATTGATTGTATAAAAAATAGAGTGTATACAACCATTTTAGCCTTAAATTATCATATATCAAATTTGACAAAGTAAACTGATCCAAATGTGTACCTGCATGTTGTATTGGGTTTCTGAAATGAAGGAGGTATTCCTTTTCCCATCAACTCCTAGCATAAGGACTCGTTTGTGAGTGATCTAGATAGGCTGGAATCACTTCTAGAAAGAAGCATCTTCCATGTGTTTTTTTTTCATATAATCATTTTAAGCAATTTTAGAAGTAATTTTGGGGAGAAACACATGATAGGTGCTTCTCTATAAAAATCACTTAAAACCACTTACAGTGTTTATATAGAGAAGTTATTATTGGTATATATCGAAAATCACTCCCAAACAAGCCCTAAATAAGTAAACTCATCCGCATTCTGTCTCATCAAATTAAACTTCTGCTACTAGGGTTTAATTATATGAAAACATGTCTCTCAACTGTTCCATCGATCATTACAATTTGAATTATCCTTGTTGGAAACATGTCTCTCAACTGTTCCAAAATGACTTAAATTATAGAGATCGATATAGCTCTTGGCACAATGAACAAAAATTTTACTAGCAAATGGAGGACTCTCCTACCGTAGCAAGGAGGCTCAACGTCCTGTTTTTTGATCGGCAAGGAGATTCAATATCTTGAAGGGGCAATTATATAAAAAAGCACATAAGTTTATTGAAACCTGAATTGAGTTCATAATTGATGAAGTTTCTTTTACTAGTTCCATTTACAGAAAATAAGCGATATTCTACTTTAAATAAAATATATATATACGATAAATTCAATGTAATTAAAAAATAATAATAAAAATCAATGATATTCTTCATATCTTTCGACATTTCTCTTTTTAATTAATGAACACCGATATTCTATACATAAATTTAGTTTTCCGGAATTTTCTTACCCCATATTTCATTCGCAGATTATGTTACTAAAAAATTAATTTATATCATTATTTTTTATTATTTTCAGCAACCATCTCCAAAACCCTAGACAGCCACACTCCAAATCCTTCAACAAGCAGAGTCTCTGCAAATGCTCGACCCCGTTACAATACAAGGAAAGAAAAAAAAACAAATTTAATTAAAAAAAGTGCAAATAAATTAGTGCAACAATTCTGGAAAGAAACCTTTTTTTAAGGTTTGGAAAAAAAGAATTATATACGATCCTATGATTCCTATCCTCACCAGCAAATGCACGCGGGCTCTGGTTGGTTGGTCCGCAATTCTTTAATTTGTATTGTATTCTCTACGAACCCTCGGCTTTCATGACATGGGCCCCACAAACCGACCTAGACAATACGACAGCGACACCTCTCCAAATACATAAATTAAAATAAGGACCTCAAACGGAAGCGGCTCGGCTCAGCCGCCCAGCCGAGGAGCGAGGTAACAGCGTGACAGCGAGAGTCAGCTGGGTTGTGTTTGTGTGTTTCCGTGCCTCTGGTGGTGGTGGATTGTGGGGCCCAGCGGACGGAATGATGTTGGGGACTCAGTACGTGGCGGCTGATGGTCCGGCGTGGGCTAGCCCACGATCATTAGGCTCACGATTTGGTGTGCAGGCCGGTTTATGCTTGCGGGACCCACCCCCGTTATCCCGTTCTGGGCCCACTCGCGCCCTTTTTTGCAAGAGAAGCTTACGCGTTGCCTTTTGACACATGTACCGTTCCCGGTTCAAAAATGATTTTCTCCATTTAATTCACACGGATATCTGCAAACATTTGTTATCATTCACCTTTTAAATTCAACAAACAAATCATTAACCTTTAACAACATCATTAAAAAAAGTAAAGAAAATCCGGTAATTACTTTCTATTTAATCACTTCACGAAAGTTTCTTTAGAAAAATGAAAATAAGAAACCAATAATTTGATTTTATTACAAAGGGATAGCTCTTATATGTAATTTGGTGTGCGGTTATGTTCTTCTTTCAACTGAATTCGGACAAGGTGAAGACATTATCTGCTAGATCCAGGACAACGATAAAAGAGATTATAAAAAAGTTACTTTTGAGAGTGATTATCTCCATATCGTTTTAGCTCTTTGGAGTACTTCTATTAAATGGGTCCGCAATGGGACATGTGCTGGAGGATACAAAGCATCTACCACCTCCATTTACCAGAGAAGGTTTTACTCATGTCCACCGTACTGTTAATGGAATGACTCATCGTGTGGCACGCTGTGCTTTGCTAGCCTAATCCTTTACAATCTTTGTCCTTTGTTCTGTTTTGATGCATTGATCAAATAAATTTATCTGCCTTTTATTTATTTTTTTAAATGTGCATTAGGTTAGTTGGCTAAGACAGTATATTGTCTCTTGCCATAGAGTTCGATCCCCCTCCTCGTATATTAGAGACTATAGTTTTGTAAGAAGAAAAAAAATTGTACTAAATTATGCTAATGACTTAATATGAAGTACTATTAAATGTATTAAACATATTTTAATTGTAATTTTCTTAACAACTACTAATAATTTGGATTAATATGAGGCAAATCAAAAGCATCGCTATTTTCTTTTCCTATGTATCGGGCCGGTCCTTCGCCATTGTGTTAGGGGTCTTTAGGGTAAAGGTTATGTATGATAAATACAATATAATAATATTAAGTGGATTTATTAAACTTGTTTTGTTTTAACAAGAAGTGAAGCAAAAGTCTCACACGTGATCCGAGTGTCATCTTTGGATTGGGCTGGACCCCCACCCCACCAATGCTTGCGTGGCAGTGGAGTATGGTAAACAAGTTGAAAGTTTTTTAAACTCCAATTAGAAAGAGTTAATTAATTACTCTTGTTGATCGATCATGATCGAGTTAATTATGTGTAAGCTCTACTCGAGCTAATGGCACCAAACACCAATCAACATAAGACAAGCTCTGGTTGCATTGCATGCACTAATATCATTTATAAACTTAGTGCTGCACTTAATCCTTGGTTTCAATTGTAATAATCGAAATCAATTTACTTTAATAATCAAAACCAATATACTTTATCGGTAGTTAGTAATTTTAATTGGAGACAAACTTATAATTAGCATGATCTAATATCATTCACCGTATACTACTTTGTTCTATTCCAAAACTTGTTATACTCAATTAAGGATTTAATTAGCATGAGTAAGGATTGATTATGATGGATAATTGAATTGATTAAAGAGTAGTGATATAATTCAACTTAATTAGCTGCTTTTCTTGAGCTAGCTAAGCATGCATAAATAGGCCAATAACGTTGCTCCACCCACCAATATATTACATGCTATGTAGTAAAAGAGATGTATTGAGGAGGAGGATATTGTTTGCATGCTATGATTGTGCCACGTGGATTCTTTGTTACAATTATCATGATTTTGTGCATGTATTATGTTCATGAGTTTTTATTATACAAAAAATATTATTAGTTCATAAGGAAACTTAGGATTTGCATTTGTCACTCAAATTTCTTGAGACTATTATAACATTTGTATCTCGTACTTGGAATGATGCACCAATTGTCAAGTGTACACACACTCATAAGTACCCCTTATCTTCCTCACTCTTTTTTTTTTTTCTTTCTGTGTTTGGATTTTCTTAGTATGTATGTATGCATGAAATGTAGTATAATCTTTTCCTTTTTAGCATCCATGCTACTTTACTTCATTTGTTTTTCTTTATCAAAAGAGATGATATTATTAATTAGCCTAACACATTTTGAATCATGTGAGGTGATTTTTTCAAACCAAGTACAAGAGTCACCAATATAAACGGTAAACCTCATAATACATCGAGCATCTTCGTTGGAATGACGATGAACATAAGTAGATTCATGTTATGTTAAAAAATAGCATATTCACAAATAAGTGGTTGACATTCTTGTCCAGCTACCTAAGCCTTCATGAGTTAAGATGGGCGGCATTTGAAAAAACTCCATAACATGCAGCACATCGTAACCCTTGACTGCTTGAGTGGCTGGGCAAGGATATCAACCATTTGTTTGTGAAGATTTATGATGAAAGACAATATCATGAACCCTTGTAGTTATATAATCAAATATTGGTGGAGTGGT